TTGACCGCCATCATCTTTAGTGAGGTGGTAAAACTAGTTCCAGATAATTTTGTCCCTCTGTACAAATTTCCTATTAAATTAATTGTAGGAAAAATCAATACAAAACCAGTGACATACCTTGAATATTTCTATTAAAAGCATTCAGAACAAACATTGTCCCACACAACACACTGACCCAAACTAAGACCCACAAACTCAGAGGCTAAGTACTATAAATGCGTTCCAATCACAGCAAATTTGGCAATTGCTCCAAGCCCAGGTCTCAAGGGGCGAGCGTTTACTGCAGGGTTTAAGCTGTGAAACTGCAGGCGGGTCCACTGGTAACGGGATTCTGGAAAGGAAATTTCCCACAGGAAGTGATAACTTCTAAATCATTACTTGTAAATCATTAATTAAACAATATGTAGATAAAGGCAGAGAGAGCAAAAGATGAAATAGCTTTCTGATCCTCCTCACTGAGCATTGTGATCAACAATGATCCAAAGAACAAACCCATTTGACACTCATTCTCTCTCTACTTCCTTTGCATTTTCTTGTGGTCATTTCCAGTTTGCTGGTGCCACTGGTCACCCTCTTCACCTCTTTCATCCCAATGCAAACGAACATGCACATTCCAGCTCCCAGAAAGGGATGCGGTACAGGAAGTGCACCGCGTTTCCTGGAGAATTGCAGATGAAGAAGTGTCAACTCAGCGTACACGTCAACCTTTGAGCATCAAAACCTTTGGCCTTACAGAGCAACCTGGGGCAAAACACCTCTTCTGAAACCCAAAGAATATGTGAAAGCGGAAGACATTTATTATCCACTGACAAGGACGCTGGTAGATTTAGGAACTGTAACAAACCGATAATCTGCAAATGGTCAAATATCATCCAGCGAATTTTGATTTTTAATATTGCAAGTCAGACACTTGAGAATGGGAGCGATTAGCCAGCCGCCTCAACGAAATGTTGTAACTGGTGGTGTGTAGACAAAACTGTCAGCGAGTGAACACTGTACTGCTATTTTTCAGCTCCATTACACCTACGTGGCCTATCAAACCCCCTCAACAATCCCATCTTTCATCATAGAGCCCTTCGATAGTGCCAGACCCAGCATCCCAGGCAAATAAAAAGCTAAACAAAACATCATAAACAAACACATCATTAGTTCATGTCATTCAATCATCTTAGAAACAATTAGTATGCATTGAATGAACTGAAAATATGATACAATTCTGATAAAGTATCCTTTTGTTGAGATTATTTCTCTTCATGGGTGACGACATCATTAGTTACTGTGAGAGAGAAAGCCATTTCCCATGAAGGCTGCTGTACTGAGGCAGAGCTTCACTTCCAGCCCACACATGTTGTCACCAGCAGCACTGACATCATTTGTTCTCTATGATGTAATCAAGCTGCACTGAAAGCAATAGCATTCGCTCCGCAACTGGCGGCGGGCAGACAGTAACTCTACAGAAAGGAGCAATGAGCTTTAGTGCTCCAAGATGTCATGTTAGACAAGGAACAAGCGAGAAGGAGGGGAAATGAAAACACGGAAATTGAAGACAGGCAGGATGCAGCAGGAGTCATTTATCAGTACATAAACGTATACGAGTTCTGGTATAGGATATGTGTGGGATATGGAGGGAGGGGGGCTAGTTTAAAGGGTTAGTTCACCCAAAAATGAAAATTAGCCCATTATTTACTCACCCTCAAGCCATCCTAGGTGTATGTGACTTCCTTCTTTCAGATGAATCTAATCGGAGTTATATTAAAAATTGACTTTAATCTTCCAAGCTGTTTAATGGCAGTCAGCGTGTGTTGCAGTTCATCAGTCCAAAAGAAGTGAAATAAAGTCCATCCATCCATAATAAAAAGTGCCTCACATGGCTCCGGTGGGTGAACAATGGCCTCCTGTAGCGAATCGATGCGTTTTTGTAAGAAAAATATCCATATTCAAAACGTAATAATCACTTGAATCTAGCTTGCGCCAACAGTTGTACACAGAAGCAGCTCCGGGAGGATGATGTAAGATGTCGGAGTTGCGCATAAGCAAAGAGTCTCGTGAAAACCAACATTTGTTTACAGGAGCAAAGGAAGCAAAGTTTCCTTACTTTAGCAAAGGAAAACTAGTCTCCTCTTGGCTTATATCGAAATCCTCCAACATTCTTCTTTACAGATCCTCAGTTTGTACTTCTAATTCGTGACCGTTGTTTTGTTTTGATCTCTCCCCTGCGCTTCTGCGTTTGTCACTTCTGAGCGGCGCATGCGCAACGCCGACGTCCTACGTCATCCGTCATTAATGCACATATTAATTAAACCTACAATATTAAAGTCAGTTTGTAAGCCCAAGCTATTGTAGGGACTTTAAAAAGACTTGGAATAAAGTGCACACATTTTGTGGACAACTTTTATGGTCCTTTTAAATCAGATTAATCACCATTTGCTTCTGTGGATATTTCCACATATGGAAAATAGCAGCATGAACATTCTTCAAATTTTCTCCTTTTGTGCTCCACTGAAAACAAGAAAGTCTAAAACATCTGGAACAAAAGGTGGATGAGTAAATGATAAGAGAACTTTCATTTTGGGGTGAAAGAAAGAAAGAAAGAAAGAAAGAAAGAAAGAATCATGGCTTTACTCGAGTTTTGTGTTGAATAAAAGTGTTTTAATAGCCATTACACAGGGCAAACAATCATGATTCATGTCATGTTGTGGCATGAATGTCTTGTAGTGGCCTATGACAAGGATTTAACAGATGGAAACAGCTAAGGAAATGTGTCGTATACAAAAGCTGACAAGACAGCAGATTGTCTAGGGAGAGCCTCAAGGGAGCTTCATGTAACGTTCACACACACAAACACATTTCGGACATGTGGGGCTCTGTTGGGAACCAGTGCTTGCTAATGAATTGAGTGTGTGAGAAAACATGTTTCACAATTCCCACAATGACATAACAGAAGCAATTCTGTCTACCTTCGGAGGAGGGTCTCAGTGCTCACTTCCTGTCTGGAAGCATGAAATTTTCCATCGTATGACCCCCTATTTTTACTTAGTCCTACTTCAAATTCTCAGCTGACTAATGATGACAAACCTGCACTTCTTTTCCAAAGCGGTTGTGAGTACACTCTTTATCATCCTACCGATGCATGTAAAACTTGTCCCAGATCAGAGTAAAAGCCAGTAAGAACCTTGTCTTGTGCATGAAGGTGTTCTTTGCACTTTGTCTAAATACAGCCAAGCTTCCAGTTAAAGAGAGGAAGTCAGACCGTTCCTGGGGATTAAAACAAGGGCATGTGGGTTCACATTTCCCCTCCTGCTTTTCTCTCTCTCTCTCAAAAGGAAAGCATACCCAGCTGTTTGACAAACATTACTAATGAGACTGAACAACTGCCTTTCTTTTTTTACCCTCTTTCCAGAGTATGTTGAAGCCTGTGGGATATAGGGCCATGCATATTCCGAAGGCTCACTCTCGAGAGAACGTAGTGAATCTATGGAAAAGCAAATGACTCCAGTGCAAGTTATGGGGGAGGATGCTGCACTAATACTGATCTGAGAACAGTTCTGTAGCTCTCGTGGTTAGAGGATTGAGACAATGGGCCCATGTTAAACAAGCTGTTTAAAACAAAAAGACACAACTACTGATGAATGTCAAGGCTGTTAAAATGTACCATCATTTAAAATGACAGAACTTTTGGTTGACTGGCTACTGTCTAAAAAAATGGGTTTCTCTGTTTTTAATGACAAATAAAGGTCACATTTTTTTTGCTTCAGCGTCCACTCAAGCTGGCATGAACATCACAAGTTTATAATGCAGAATCTTAATTTATACCTGGAAATAAACTACGCATAAACTAGTATTTTGGTGGGGAAATTATGAAAAATTAATAAATGTTTCAGCCTAAGATTTAGCACTAGAAACAGGTCACTAATCAATTGGTAACATTAACCATCTGGACTCTTTGTACAGTAGGTCAGATAAATTTGCTTCCCTTGAAACTCAAGATGCTTTTGGATCATTCTCAACATTTATGGAGTAACACAAGGGAGGGACACACAAAGATTTCACTTTTAAATATAACTTTTTAAATAAATGTGCATTTAAATAGTTATATGAATTATTTAATTAGTAATGAAAAAGTTGCATTCAATTAGAAAAATACAAAATGGACTGGACTTTTGTGTACATAACTATAGGGTGAAATCTGAAAAAAAAAAAAAAAAAGGGTCAGGTTTTCATTATATTCCAGAAAATGGCCCAAATTCACTCTATATAATTTATGTAGAACTAGTCTTTAGGTAATCTATATGATCTAGCATATGCTTTCAAGAAGTTCTAGCATTAATATTTAAAACAAACTGCAGAGTCCATCTTTTGCAGGAAATACATAAGCTTCTGTTCCAGCCATATATGGCCACTTCTTCAGGCCACTAAACCCCGAATCTGTCATTGAAGTTGTGCCCTAAATTGCTAGAAAAGGGGGTGTGACAGAAAGTCTAATAACTTGTGACGACAGATCAACATTTTTTCATGTTGACAGAAACAATAAAAAATAATTGTACGTTTTCACAAATTATGATCAAGGTATTGTTATTGTCCTGGTTATGCAATTGACATTACCTGCAGACATGTTCTAATTTCATTTGAAATAAGTCATAAGACATCGAAATCTTCTTTAATGAACTCTAATTAACTTGCCAAATGAAGTGAATATAATTGAGTAGGCATATGCACATGCAGGTGTTCAATCTGAGGTCATTCTCTGTACTTTATTTTATTTTTATTTATTTTTCGGACCTCTGTGGGTTATGTGTATTATTCTCCAATAAAAATAAAACTCTCTTGACTCATCTCGGCTAATGATACAAAAAAACAGACTTTTTATAGGACAACGCAGAACCAGCTCAAAACGCATTTGTTCATAGCGTTGCAGAAATGTCCTTTATCGTGATTCAGATGCGTCTTTCTGTTTCTCAGCATCAGGTTCGAGAAGGACGCAAGGTGAATAGGTAGCCAACTCACGTAATGTTGATCTGCACTGCCATCAAAGGGTCATTTACTTTATCTACACACACACACAGAGTGATGATTACAGAAAAATAATTATAACTGAATCCATGTGTTTTACAAACAAGCTCAATCTAACGGATTAAACAAACTAATTATATGTATGAATAGAATCTAAAAAATATTTTCCCTCACAGAAGGAGGTGGCCCTGATCTCCCTTGCATCCCTGGAGGTTTTGAGGGTTCCTCGTACCCTCAGCAGGTCTCCGATCTCCAGCACAGTGCTCTTCCGTTCAGCCTCCTTCAGCCGTTTGAGTTCATCTTCAATGTTAAATCCTCTGGAGGATCCGCTAGGATCTCTGCCTACATTAACATTAGTGCTGGATTAGTACTTTTAGTGGATTCATGTCCATTATTTTCTATAACATCTACAGCTGGATTGCTTTCATTTTAAAGAGAATGTTCTAACAAAAAAAAAGCTATTTGTTTGTTTATGCATACACGCTGATTAAATATTTGCAGCAATGAAAATATTATTTTCCATTTTCTCCAATCTTTTAAATCACCATTTTAAAAATCCTTGATTTGAACCCTATATAGCCTATAGTTTTGTTTATATATATATAATGTGATTTTGATTGAAAACTAACTACCATTCAAAAGTTTGAAGTCAGCAATTATTTTTGATAGAAAATTTATACTTTTATTCCACAAGTATGCATTAAAATGATCAAAAGTGACAGTAATGACAATTTTACAATGTTAGAAAAAATATACAAATATTACGCAGCACAACTGTTTTCAATTTTGATAATGAGAAGAAATGTTTCTTGAGCACTATATCAGCATATTAAAATGATTTCTGAAGGATCATTTGACACTGAAGACTGGACTAATAACTGCTGAACTTTGCTATCACAGGAATAAATTACATTTTAAGATATATTAAAATGGAAAACGTATATACGTACGTATACGTAAAAAAATAATAAAATAAACACTTGGTGTTACTAATGTAGTGTCAGAATTTTCATAACTTACATTCAGTTGATTCTCCTTGATCATTCCATTTCTCATTTTTCCAACAAAGGCAGTTTATGACACCAGTACTGTCATCCACTGTGTGTTGAAGGAGAACAGACAAGAAATAGTAAGACCAGGTGCAACAAGTGCCCATTTTTGAGGTGCAGTCCTGGGTCACTTTGATCCAAGGCAGGATAACACACAACCAAAAGGCAAAATTACTACTACAAATTACGCAAGTGCTAAAGTTAGGAAGTTGTGGCCTAATGGTTAGAGAGTTGGGCTCGTAACCCAAGGTTGTGGGTTCGAGTCTCGTACCGGCAGGGATTGTAGGTGGGGGGAGTGAATATACAGCGCTCTCTCCCACCTTCAATACCATGACTGAGGTGCCCTTGAGCAAGGCACCGAACCCCCAACTGCTGCCCAGGCGCCGCAGCAAAAAAATGGCTGCCCACTGCTTCGGGTGTGTGCTCACGGTGTGTGTGTGTTCACTGCTGTGTGTGTGCACTTTGGATGGGATAAATGCAGAGAGAGAGAGAGAGAGAGAGAGAGAGAGAGAGAGAGAGAGAGAGAGAGAGAGAGAGAGAGAGAGAGAGAGAGAGAGAGCGCGTGCGCGCGCGAGAGAGAGCGAGAGAAAGAGAGAGAGAGCGAGAGAGAGAGAAAGAGAGAGAGAGAGAGAGAGCGCGACAGAGAGAGCGAGAGAGAGCGCGAGACAGAGAGAGAGAGAGGGGGGGTCACATCACAAACACATACCAGCTTCATCACTGTGTCTGTCACGCGACTCTGTTCCCCTTTCAGGCTCTGTCTTTACATGTATTTTGAAAGATGAAGCTCGCGATTATGGTAAGGGGCGTTACATTTCCGACGAGTGCTTGCAGTGTTCGGCCAATCACAATGCACTGGGTCAGCTGGCCAATCAGAGCAGACTGCGCTTGTCGGAAGGAGGGACTTTGTAGAAAACGAAGCGTTTGAGAGAGGCGGGGCATAGAGGACCTACAATAATGTACAGTATTTGAAAAATGATGTGTTTTTTGAACATTAAAGCATGTCAACATATTCTGTTACACCAAATACACAAAATAATGATCTTTAAAAAAGCATCATATGACCCCTTTAAGTTTATGGAGGAACCCAAAAAAAAAAAAAACTGCAACAGAACTTGACACTGACCACCATGCATTTTCGTTGTGTAAAATGATCTAATTTATAACAGATTATTTTATTTATTTATTTTTGACTTTTTATTTATTATTATTGTTTTATTTATTTATTTTTAAACAAACTATAGACCTATTGAGGCAATGCTAAAATAAAATGTTTGCACTTTTATGTTGAAATATAAAAAAATAAATAAAAATCTTGTTTTTCCAGACCTCCATAGCAGTAGAAATCTTCTCTCTCCCGCTTGTAAACAACCGTCCCCAGTACATCCACCTGGAAGAGTGGGTGAGTCTTGTAGAAATAAACTCCTACAAAACATCACATGCACAAGTCAAATATGGGAGCTTTCTGGCACCATTATAAGAACAGACTCTTCTTATCTTTAAATTATTATTTAAAACAGCAGCTGACAAAGAAACAAGTGGCTGACAAATAATGTGAATACTTTCCCGCTTATGCAAAAGTGCTGTAGTATTTTTATTCCAGTGTAGTTGAAGATAACTCCAGTAAACAAAATTAAAGGGGCCAAGGGTTAACGGCTTGATTTTACGTTACCAGGTACTTGTCTGGACTCTTTCATCTGTAGGATGTCAGTTATGTAGAGTCTCGAGTATGCGGAGAACACGGGGTCCAAACCCCACAGCACAGACGGCAGCTCATCAGCCTCAGCATCTGCGGGATTCACTGCCATCGGACATCACTGACAAAACAAAGTTAAGCACCGAAAACTAAAAGAAGCATAAACACGACAAGCAAATCTGCGCGCTTATGAAGTGATCTTGATTAAACTTAACTTGTTTTACTAAATGCCACAACAACAAGAAATAAATAACGCTGGAGCTTGATGAACCCACTGAATCATGTTTGTTTTTCCGCTCTCTGCGCAGTTGACTCACTGCGCACATAGGAAGGAACTACGCTAAGCTCATGAATATTAATTAGGTTACGTGTTAGGACGCTCAAGGAAGGTGACACATAAATGTAAATATAGGGGAAATAAGCCTGTTTTTAATTTTAAAGAAATTCAAAAATATCTTTAAAAAAAAATAAATCTTTAAAAAAGTAAGCAGTAAAATGTGTTGCTATTTGTAAACATTTAAATGTTTGTATTTAACTTTATTTGTGTTAATTTGTTTGTTTGTTTACTTAAGTTTTTTAAACATAATAATGTTACTATCTGAAAGAAAAATAATAATAATATTATTATCTTTAAAAAACTGATTGTGTGTGTGTGGGGGGGGGCAGTATACGGGTGACCAGGCGAGGGCGCCACGCATCTAGTGAAAGCAAATGTTCTCCAAAAGCAAAGAGCTCCAAAGTTTATGACAGGAAGTCACAACCGGTGAGAATGAAGCATCATTTTACAACACCGCGTTTTACAGAGTTTTCAAAAGTTGGTTAGATCTCGTCTCCATGATGAGTATTTTAAAGAAAACGTTTGTTCCCTGACCGGGAATCGAACCCGGGCCGCGGCGGTGAGAGCGCCGAATCCTAACCACTAGACCACCAGGGAGCGCTGGATATTTATACTCTCGTCTGTCTTTTAGAGCAACTCAAGTCAAACTGTGTTTTTCAATATATAAAATACACCCATTCTCTTCTGTATTTTACAGAGCATTGGGTCTCGTGAAACACTGTGCAGTAAGATTAGAGTTTCGGATTGCTTTTCCTCTTTAGTCTTTACCATCCACAAGTCTTGAAATATGGGCTAGAGATCTTTCTTTCTGACAAGCTTGCAGGTTTAAGCTAGCTGTCCCCCAATCTGGCCAAGCCAGTGCCCAAACCCCCTTTAAAACCAGCTAATAATAAGACCTTTGACCTTTTTTTTTTGTAACAGCAGGGTGGTTCTAGATACTCACTTTTTCTTATTTCAGTTCTCTAAACCCATTTATGTGTTTTGAACTTTGCTGAGTCAGACCTGTAAAGCTGAGAGAAGTGCTGACTCATCCTACCTTTGAGATTCCTTTGTAAAACTGTCCTATTTTTCTGGAGAGAGGTGGACAGTTTCCTCATCGTCTCAAAGCAGAGGCGTCCCAATCTGTATCAGGTCACTGTAACATCGTAAACGGTGATAAAAGACTGATATTTGCAAGAGTAATAGCTGCATCTGATGGGAGAGGAGTGCATAGAAATTGGCCATAAATGCAGCTGTCAAATATTGATGTGAACTCACTGACCCAAAACTCTCAGACAGTCATCCACCAGTGGCGGCTCGCAGGGGAGGCACAGCCATTACCGCGGGAAGTAGGGGTGCTGAGGGTGCTGCAGCACCCCCTGGAGTGTAGCCCATGAAAAAATGGGGGTGCTGGGGGTGCGGTGTTAAAAATAAATGAATGAACAATATGTAATACAAAATAAATAATATTAGTTTTATTAATTAGTATATTCATTAAAATTCATTGAAACTCAACAGCAACAAATCTCGCATTCTCACATCTGCAGCGCTTAGTTTGATCTTTAACGTTCCTATTCTTGAAACAAAATTCATTCTTAAGGTTGATTCAATATTACTCTTAATGAAACAAACACACACACAACATCAACAATGCTACAATGACAAAGTCGCTTATATTAAACATAAAACTTTTATGAACAGATAAGAACAAATAAGATCAGTGGCGTAGCGTCTGGTTATGCAGGGTATGCAGGTGCATATGGTCCCGGGCAGTTTGGGGGCAACGAGGGAACGAATAGAGCCCTGCATGGGCCCGGCCCTTGTCCAACAGCTTTATGAGAATTCTCGGCCGGAGTCTGACTGGATACCCTGACTTTTCTCTCTCTCTCTCTTCCCCATTACACAGCTATTAAAATAGTTCAGTTTTGGTTTTTAATGGCAAAGTGGTCATATTTCTTCTTGTTTCTTTTAAAGTTAATTTAGAAATATGTTTGGAACATTTTATGTTTGTTAAATTCAAGTTTTTGTATTTTAAAGGAACGACCAAGTGGCAGCGGCAGACAGTGAGTTGAGCATTATGTTTGATCAATTTAGCCTTCTTAAACCAACACGACTTGCCTAAAATAAACAGACATAAAACACTTCATGCATTTCACAGTATTAATTAAACATTTAACCCAGATAAATGAGCGCTGTTAGGTGCATATCCAATCGTTTGCGCTGAGAGTGGAAGCTAAAGCGCGCTGCAGGACATGGAGACGCCAGCGCGATCACTTGCATTTTATTTTTAATAACAGCGTAAGCTTAAAAATACGCCGTCATTTTTGCTCATAAAGGTAAGAGTATACATCATTCGGAACTGCAAAGGGTAGCTTTATGTGTCTTCTGTTTCAGTTGCGCTGCACGGATGCGCTGTTTTCGTTCAAATCAAAGCGTAAATACACGTAGAAAACGTATCCTTGTGTCGCGGCTGATACAGAATAGCGTACACTGCTTGTATCCAGCGGATATTCTCCAAAATGGCACTACAGTGATGCGGAGAGACACAGAGGAGACGAATTGTTGAAGTCTTTCATACTTTTCTGGACCTTGACAGTGTAATTTACGTGGCAGTCAATGGGACAGTCACAAGCCTGCCGGTTTTCATCCAAAATATCTTCAATTGTGTTCCGAAGATGAACGAAGCTTTTAGGGGTTTGGAACGACACGGGGGGAAGTGATTAATGACAACATTTATAATAATAATAATCGGCAGGGATCCCAGACCAATACAATTAGTGTGTCTCCTCTAGTTTTAAAACCCACGAGCCGCCACTGCACATAACAGATAAGTTATCATCAAGGAGAATGATATCTATGTTTTATTACTATTAAGGTCATTATGAGCTCTTTTAGAGACAGTAAACCATTTAATACTGATCTGAAACCTGTTCGCTGTAGCCAAACTTCTGACAATAAGACAAAATACAAAAAGTGTCCTTTAGCGTGTAACTATTTTCAAGGTTGTGTCATGGATGATAGCTTTCCATTCATTTTCAAATTGTGCGAAGTAGCCATCATAGTCCATAACCTAACCTTTGGACAGAAAAGTTAAAGCAGATTAACAGTCAATACAAAGAAGAGGTCAAAGAGTAACTGTTCACGTATTGATCACATTTTCCAGAAGTGCAAAGCAGTCAGTTTGTTCTCTGATTGCATGTCAAGCTGGCCTACTCAAAATACTGTTTTTGGCAAGATGCAAAAGTTTCAGATGCCTAATGAGCAACATTAGTAGGAATAGTTCACATTTTTATTATTTACTCACCCTCATGAAATTTCAAACCAATTTGCTTTTGTTCTCCATGAAACGCAAAAGTTAAATGATCAAAAACAGACAAAAACACTATAAAAGAACTATAAAAGTAGTCCATGTGACAATATACAGTATCAAATGTCTTCTAAAATCATCCAAAAAAGTATCTGTGACATGAGGGTGAGAAAATGATGACAAAATGTTTGAGTGAACTATCACTTTAAGTTTGATTTACAGTTTAAACCTACCTGTATTAATCACAGTTAAGCTAAATAGCCAGTGCTTTTTTTGTTGAGTCACTAAAACAGTTTTAAAACCCAACTCTTTTGGGTCAAAGTGTTTTTAACATTTTATAGGTCTACAAAAACATGAAATTAAGCATTAAATGGAAATGCTGTGACAGGTAACTGTCTCTGTTGGAGGTCTGTCTGTCTGTCTGTCCTATCCCATCAGTACTCTCTGGAGCCTGTCTGCAGGGACGCTGTTCTCGTCCTCTGACTCCGCGTCGCTCTGAGGGTTTGAGCTGCAGGGAGAGGAACACTGCGGGGAACAGAGGTAATGCATGAGCGGCAGGCGGTACTTCCCACAGAAATCCACAAACTTGATGTGCCTCACACATGAGTCGAAGTAAACACCTAGAGGGCATGATGGGAGAGATATAGAGAAATGTGAAGAGGTGGACAAATATTCAACATGTCAAAGACAACTTTGTCAACATAAAGTTTTCAGTTTAGAACTTGGTGTCAACAGCATCAGTCAACAGCAACTGTGGCATAATGTTGATTACCACATAAAAAAAAAAAGCAAAAATTTGGGAGTAAATGGGGTCAATCTGTAAATGCTAAAATTCTCACTTTCAATAATTTAGTCGCAAACTTGTGCATGTTAACACGATTTTAGCGTGAAAAAAATCACTTACTTTACGGAGCCCCTAAAGGGACCTTTGAAAAACTAAAAAATCCATTGACTTTTGCATGCGAACGAGAAAATAAAAGATTTCTAGCATGAAAAATATATTGAAAAATTTCACATAAGCATGCAAATGTTTCACATTAGGCTTCACATGCTCATGCAAACGTTTTCCCGTTTGTATGCAAAAGTCCGATTTTTTTTTTTTTTTTGCAAAGTTCCCTTTCGGTTTGTCATACTAATCTTTTCTGTGTAAAGTTATTTCAATTTTCACGGCTTTGTTTCGGACATACTCAAAGCACTTGCGCTACTTCCGACAACAGGACTAATGGATTTGGAACGTCTGCTTTGAAACGTCCATTGTAGACAGGCTCAAGCTGTTACAGTGTGATATACATTTTTGAACTTTTTTGATGAATGAGGGACAAGATGAAGTAATCAACATTATACCACAAATTCCATCAGTTGAGCGTAACTAGTACTGAACCCAGAATATTCCTTTAATTAATGCATGATGCTGTCTAAAGCAAGGTTATCCTCACAGGATATAGATTATACAGCCTTATTGTCCTTCCCTACCTGCACACTTTGGGTTGGGACATTTACTAGCCAGGTTTAAATAATGGTTCAGATTGGACGGTAGGTCACACGAGCTGAACGGGAGGTTCTGGGACTTGATGGTGCGTCCTGCCAGCTCCATCAGAGATGGAGGGTCGTAGGTCATGTCCTTGATGAAGCGCACAACAAGAGGGTTTCCACGCAGACTGAGCTCCTGCAAATGGACGAGGCTGAGGATCTCACGAGGGAGGAAGGTCAGCAGGTTGTTGTGGAGACTGAGAGAGAGCAGGGAGTGTAGTCTGCAAGGACAGAAA